AAATTTCGCCTTTGAAGTTTGGCGGGTATTTCACAAGAATTGATGATTCTTGCTTGTCATTTTTTGCTTTTGGCGCCAATTCGCCCTCTTCAGCCACATTAAGAACTTCCGTTATTTTTTCTATATTTTTCTCAACGCTATAATCTGTCTCCATGTCACCAGACACATCGGATTTTTCAAAAGATTTTTTTTCTGAACAGATTTTTCTTAAACCATCATTCGATAGTTCATAAAAGCCTGTTACGTCGTCATTAATTAATATTTTTGGTTTTTTGGCCGTGCTACTTTCTGCTTCGGCAGAAAAAGCACATGTCGCCACCGACTTGTTCGTCGGCGACGCCATTTTGGCCTTGGCTTTAGCTTGCGTCGCTAGACGCAGCTTCTTTTTCACAGGCAATTTAAAATTTGTGCACACACCTTGTAAAAGAATTCAATAAAGACAAGAAAAACCAGAATCACTTACCCAGCAAAATATGTGCAGCTATTCGGCTTTTATTTTTTGACCATCCAACGTGGATAATAAAAAGAAAAATTTACACACTCAAAAAGCCACAGGCTCACACTAGCAAAAAAAGTGTACAACTGTATGTATATAAGGTTGGTTTAAGGCACAGGTTAAATGAAGCGCGCTCGATCCACACACGCTCGTGTCCAAATCCGAATGCTTGAAAGGGCTTAATTTCAAAACTACATGTAAGAGGTTTCCATCTGTTTAAAATCTCAAATTGAGTTCAGGGGATAAGTTAATTGAAAAAGTATGACAAGTGAGAAGTTTAGGAACGTTTTAGGTTAGGTTAGGTTAGGTTGATGTGGCTGCCAGTGACCCCACTAGCACACATAGGCCCTAGGTTGTGGGCCCGTTGTGATACCACGCGGATCGTTAGAACCCTCCTACTCAAACCATCGTGTGGATTTTGAGAAACCCAGAAGTGGCCGTATGCCTACTTCGGCTATGTCGGTTAGGTCCTCAAAGAATCCTGAAACCCAAGAACTTTTGTCTTCTTCTACAAGTGCGGGGCAATCGCATAACAGGTGCCGCAAGGTTTCTGGCTCTTCTTCATTTCTGCAGCTTCTGCAGAAGTCGTTATGGGGGATCCCTAACCTCTCCGCGTGCCCTCCGATAGCAACATGGCCTGTTAGCAGACCCACAGCTGCGGCTAGGTCTCCTTTGCTCAGCATGAGGAGATCCTTCGACCGCTTTTTGTCCCATTTAGGCCATGTAAGCTTCGTGTTGTTGCAAGTGGTGAGGCTATCCCACCTGTCCCTTGCTAGTTTAAGAGACAGATCCCTTAGAATGAGCTTGCAGGTAGCGAGCGGCATGCCTAATCCCTTCCAGGCCTGCGAAAGTGGAGCGGATGTGCCCTCTTGCAAGTTCGTCCGCCTTTTCGTTGCCTGGTATGTTCCGGTGCCCCGGAACCCATACCAAGTGAAGTGCAGACTGCTCAGCCATCTCGTTTAGAGATCTGCGACAGTCCGCTACGGTTTTTGAACTGCATGTGACCGAGTCGAGCGCTTTGAGTGCGGCCTGACTGTCTGAGTAGATGAAGATATCGTTATAAATGACTTCTCTTGTACGTAGGTGTTCAACCGCTTCCTGTATGGCAGCGACCTCAGCTTGAAAGACGCTGCAGTGGTTGGGTAAGCGAAAACATATTTCCAGCCCCAGTCGGGCCGAGAAGACCCCCCCTCCTACCTTGCCGTCTAGCTTAGAGCCATCGGTGTAGAGGTGGAGTGATCCATTGTCATCGGGAGCCCCTCCTGACCAGAATTTTCTATCTGGAATGGAAATCCTATACCTCTTTGTGAAGTTCAACCTTGGTGCACAGTAATCCGTGTCCGGTATATTTATGTCCTTTAAGATTGCGGTGTGGCCTTCCTGAGTGTCCCTCCAGCCTGGTAGTTCCCTCAACCTCAAGGCGGCACACCCCGCTGATTGCTTTCCAACAATTTCAATTGGTAAAATATCGAGGAGCACGCACATAGCCTCCGATGGAGTTGTGCGCAGGGCCCCACAGATGCAGAGCATCGCAGTTCTTTGCACCTTTTGGAGTGCTTCAGTTGTAGATTTCCTGTTGAGACTTGGCCACCATACCAAGACCCCATATAATAGAATCGGCCTAACAACTACCGTGTATAACCAATACATGATGCTAGGGGACAGCCCCCAGCTACGCCCAATCGCCCCCTTGCAACTGTAGAGGGCTACCGTCGCTTTTTTAACACGCTCTTGTATATTTTGCGCCCAGTTAAGCTTTTTGTCCAGGACTACGCCTAGATATTTTGCAGACTCCCCTAGCTTCAGAATCTTATTGCCTATGGCAGGGAGCTGAAGTGAGGGGATTTTGTACTTCCTGGTAAAGAGCACCAGGTCCGTTTTTTCTGGGTTAACACCCAGACCTTTTTCCTTGGTCCATCTCTCGATTAACCTTAGTCTGTCCTGCATAATGTCACAAAGAGTTTGTGGAAATTTTCCACTCACAACCACCGCAAGGTCGTCAGCATACGCTATGACCTTGGAGCCTCCCCCCCCTTCCAGGGTCTGCAATAATTCATTAATCGCCATGACCCAAAGAAGGGGGGAGAGGACCCCACCCTGCGGGGTTCCCCTGCAAACGTATCTGTCCAGCGACACGCCCGCCAGTTCCGCCCGCACGACCCTGCCAACTAGCAGCTGTCGTATAAGCGACACCAGCCGTGAGTCGATGTCCAGACCAGTTAGAGCTGATGTGATTGCTTCAGGTGTGATGTTGTTGAAAGCACCCTCAATGTCTAAGAATGCTATCAAGGTGTATTCCTTTATCGCAAGGGATTTCTCAATATGCGACACGATTTCGTGTAGCGCTGTTTCGGTGGACTTCCCCTTCATATAGGCATGCTGCGAAGCCATAAGCTTGTCTGCAACCGATTCCCTAAGAAAGGATTCAATCAGTCGCTCCAATATCTTGAGCTGGAAGGATGATAGACTGATAGGTCTAAAATCCTTGGCGCGAGTATGGGATGTTTTTCCCGCTTTAGGAATGAAGACAACCTTTGACCTTTGCCAGGTCTCCGGAATGTAGTTGAGAGTGAGGACTCCCTTAAAAATAACATACAGCCATTTTGAGCTTAGCTCCATAGATTGCTGTAGCTGAATCGGTGTAACACCATCTGGACCCGCAGATTTGTAAGGCTTGAAGGACCCTATTGCCCACATCAGTTTTTCTTTGGTGATGAGGTCTACCGTAACCGGTTGACCTCTATTTCTTATTGGCCCGTTCAATGGCTGCTCGGTGGCGCCTGGAAAGTGCGTGCTCAGAAGATGGTCCAGGGATTCCTCCCCAGTTTCCGTCCACGCTCCGTCGGATCTTAGCAAGCATCCCGGGGCGATACGAGGTGAACTAGAGAGAACCTTCCTGAGCCTAGAACCTTCTGATACGGATTCCATACCACTGCAAAAGTTCCTCCATGAGGATCTCTTGCTCTTCCTTAGTAGTTTCTTGTAATCTTTCAAGTTTAACTTATAGATTTCCCATTGCGTATCGCCTCCCGAGGATTTTGCGAGATTGAAGGCTCTACGACAATTTTTGCGGGCCTCGTCAATCTCTGTACTCCACCAAGGTGGTTTCTTTTTGCCTCTCGGCTTTACCATGGGGCAGGCCTGATCCAGAGCCTTGCCACATGCCGCAGTAAAGCGATTTGCCAGCCTATCTAGGTCCCTAGAGTTTCCTGGAATTGCTAGTGTGGTTCTTGAGAGCCGTTTGTCAAGCTCTCTTCTGTACTTATGCCAGTCGGCTTTCCTTAGATTTCTTTTGGCAGGTACCTTGGACGGGACCCCGTCTAAGTCGAATTGGATGAAGCGATGATCAGAGAAGGAATGCTCATCAAGCACCCTCCAGTTCCTGATCATGACCTCCGCATCTTCTGAGACGAGGGTAACATCCAGGACCTCTCTTCTGCTCTTCGTTATGAAGGTAGGCTCGCTACCCCTATTACTTATAACTAAGTTAGATTTTAGTATGAATTCAAAGAGTGACTCACCCCGTTCATTGATGTCTCCACTTCCCCATGTGCTATGGTGTGCATTTGCATCACCTCCTAGAATCAGGGCCCCGTCCCAGCGCTCCACTAAATGTTCGACCGGTAGGGTTGGAACAGGCCTGTCATGTGCCAGATACATCGAGGCAAGCCTTATTTGTCGTCCGTTCGCCTCCAGACTGATGGTGGTGGTGTCCTCGTCACTGAACTGAGGAAGAAACAATATTTTTAGTTTGGTACTAACAAGGATGCAGGCCCTTGGTTTACCTATGGTAGCTCCACTTATCAAAGTGTGCTCTGCCGACTTCAGCCCGCATATTCCATGCCCTATCACCCAAGGCTCCTGGATGAGGGCGATGTCTGCTGCCCCCTTGGAGAGCTGGAGCAGCAGTGCAGCCGACGCTGCTTTGCTGTGGTGGAGATTAATCTGGAGGACGCGAACCATCTTGGCCGCACCTTCCCACCCCCTCCACCACTGTTGAGTTCGCCTCGTCGTCATCTGACATCAGCTCCTCTTCTGTGTATTGCCGGAAGATATGGTCGACTCCCAGAGAGGATGTAGATGAGGCGTATCCACCAGCCAGGTCATCCATCGGATTGGCCTGGTTGGATTCCTCGTCCACCTCATCCTCGCTGTTGTCTGCTTCCGGCTCAACTTCGTTGCCTCTTGCTGCGTTCACGTCGTTCGTGTACACCCTTATCTTTGCGGTGTCGAAACCGTAATTGATGACGCCCCCAGTCTTTTCGAGGAGTGGCAACGACTCCTTATTTAGCAAAAGGACCGCCTGACGAGTCGCCTTTGTGCTGTGCTCTAGCCGCACCACCTTCCAATTGTGAGAGGGTAACTCGGGATTAAAGAGCCTTATAATCTCAAGCACTCTCTCTGGTTCGGTCGGTTTGGCCGGTATCCATGCCCTTGCTCTGGGCCTGGATGGGATGTCCTTGAAGTCCACAGCCCGTAGCATCGCTCCGGGGTAGACCTCTCCCAGCATGGCCATCGCCTTCTTGTACATGCCCGCCGACCTTTCATCGTCGCACGCGACGATCTTGACGTTACCTTGGAACCAACCTGCGTCCCGGCATATCGGAGGTGGTCCGGGGTGCTCCCGAAGCACGCTGACGCAGATGTTCGCCAATTCCGCTTTAACCCATTTCCAATGAGCTCTCAGTGCCAATTCGTCTTCCTGGTTCTCATCGAGCACACCCAGGAGGATCCGATTTTTGGCTACCTCAGCAAAGGTGGGGCCTTGCGTCCTGGCTCTTTTCGACTTATTTTGCGCAACCTCCATCGATCTATTGCGCTTTTCCGCAGCTGGTGGCTCTCCGAGCACCGGCAGCTGATAGTCGGGCACTATCGTCATTGCCCACGCTATCTCCGACCGGATCTCTTCCACGTGACAGGGCAGCGCCCTGCTACATAGGTCCGGGGTTAATGCGGATCTCTTCAAGATCCTCATGGCAGCCTTCCTGTGCTTAGCAATGGCTGCGCTTGGTGGTGGCCTGTCATCAGGCCTTGTGAATGCAGTAGGAGTAGGGGGAGGCGGGGCCCGCGCATCAGCTCTGGCGCCCCCTGGGGCTGCAAGCTGCAAGCCAGGTTTGCCTTCACTGGTGCCGGGAAAATCCCGTTTCGGTTCCCCCACCCTCTTCCTTTCCGCTTTTGTGGATACGCCTGACCCCGGCATCGCCAGAGGCTTACGTACCCCACTAGTGCTGGCCACGTCGTGGCTAGTAGAGGGACCCTGCATCGCATGGGCCCCATGGTGTCTGGTCAACTGCCCTTCCGACTTTTTATGAGTGCCGGTCTCAATTTCCGTTGTTGCTATTTTTAGTTTATTTTTTAAATCGCTCATATTCCCACCAGTTGCGGGCAGAGATCCGCAGTACCCAGGGTAAGGCCATCGAATGCAACCGGGTGCGGCCTGTTTCCCAGAGGGCTCCGTTAGCGACTGGGCTATTTAGGGGCTCCCAGCCAGGCTGATCCTCAGTACGGTACGCGTAACGCCTTGATCCAGCCCCTACCTCCAGACCACGATCAAAGACCATTTCCGTATGGCATAGCGATGAAAACGCATAAGCACACAGCACTGATCCCTGATCTTAGCTGGACACCCTCCCGACATCGCACGGGATTGCTCTGTAGTGCCCATTTCCAGCCGGCACCCTCGCGGAGGGTTCAGTCCGAGGATTTTCGCCGGCCTAGGAACGTATTAGTTTGAAAATATTTTGAAGCTGGTTAAACAAAATTTTAAACCTCCTGTTTTTTTAATTGAGTTTTCTTGAAATAAATTTTACTCAATGTATCACGTAGAAATTTCATACACTCAGCGAAGCGGGTGAGGGCGATCTATTATTTAAATATTTCTTTATTAATAATAATAAAACTAGTATTAAAATCAGTCTTGCAAATATATGCAAATTAAAATTACATCTAAATTTACAAAATGTCCATACAGTGATTTCTTTTGAAATATTAACCAAATTTTTCATGTTAGATGGTTTTCGTGAACTTTTTATTTATAGCTGCGAGTGAAATAATAGCAGCAAACTTCAAAATTATGTTTGCCACTTATGTGTGTTTATTTATTTTTAATAATTTTCGTTTAAAATATAGTTTCATTTATAACAGCAACCACATAAATAAAATTTTTTATATATATTTTAAACGAAAATTATTAAAAATAAATAAATACGCATAAGTGGCAAGCATCATTTTGAAGTTTGCTGCTATTATTTCGCTCGCAGCTATAAATAAAAAGTTCACGAAAACCATTTAACATGAAAAATTGTGTTAATATTTTAAAAGAAATCACTGTATGCACATTTTTGTTGCTGTGTGTATATATATCTAATACTAATAAATTAAATATTTTAAAATCCAATTCAATATATTAAAAAATAGTAATAAATTCATTTAAAAGGTACGAAGTATTTTGCACAAATTCACATTAAATAAAAATAAAAAAATTTTTCATTTCAAATGAACTAGTTCATTTAAAGTAACTTAAAAAAAAATATATATATATATATTTCACTCGGGCCGAGTGCCCTGGCCAAATTGTTTATGGCTTCGGCGCACACCGTCATACCTCCCCCAAAGGCTTGCAGCCCATTCGCAATGGAAACTTGCGTCTCTACCAGCCGGGTAAAACTTTCGTCCAGCATCTATTCTAAAAGAATGTAATATCAAAAATTAAGCCACACACCTCTAAATAAAAATTTATTTACCTTCATAGCATCCGCCTGGGTTTGAGCGATGTCCAGAAACTTTTTCTGGACTTCGCTCTCATCCTCATTCCTCCTTCTCTCAAATTCCTGCGCAGGAGTTGTAGGGGTGTCGCAAGTGGCTTCGACGTAGGACTCTGGAGATACTCTTTGGATTATTTCTTCCCCGTCCTCGAGGTACAATTGAAGCTCCTAATGGTAATAAAAACAGTAATTAGTTATAAGTTTGGAATAGCTTAATAAAAACCTAACTCTTCCATTGGCACATTTTCTGCCACTGATTGATGGCCCTCTATATAGTGGCTGCCAATAATGGCAACCACACGCTGCTCCAGCTCTGTTAATGGAGCCTGCTCGATGGGCCTGTTTCCGGTTCAGGCCTTCTGTCTCCAGCGGCTTTGTCGAACTCAACTCGCACGCACCGCTCCTTGTATTAATGACAAGTTGCAAACCAGACTTCTGCGCTCTTCCCATAGCGTTCAGCTTGGTCGCCATCTCCTCCCACTTTCTTTCATGCTCCAACTTCTCATGGAGCCGTTGAAACTTTCCGGCAGCCAGTCCCGGGTTCTCGAGGAAAAAGTCTACCATTCCGCTGAGTTGCTCGGTTGAGGCCCGGCTTATTTTTGATGTTGCTTTGCTCGTTGAGGACATGCTGAAAATATACAAACGTAAATTATCTACATATAAATAATAATGAAATATACTTAATTCATTTAATCTCATAAATTTGCGCTTGAACTTAGGCGGGGTTTGCATTATTTTTTCTTGCATTCTTCTTTGCGCTGTTCGTATATTTGACGTTTAATTTTCAAAGATGCCACTTTCTATCAATTTAAATAAATAGCAAAAGTCGGCTGTTTAGTGTTGTTAAGGATACGTTAGTGAATTGCACAGTCGTTACTGCAAACAACAAAAATTCCTAGTTTACAACTCGACAAGTCGCGTTGTTAAAAGTTAGTGAATCCGAATACTGTTCCAGGTTATGGTTACCTATAGTATAAGAAGCGGGATGAACAGCTCTTCGCGAGAAGCACATTACTTTAGATTTCTTAAGATTTAGAGGCATAAGATTTACTTGACACCAGTAAGCTGTTTAAGTCTGATTGTAGCAAAGACCTTTCTTAAATTGAAACGTACGATTTATAAAGCTTTGCATCATCTACATACATTAAAATTTTGGAAAATTGTATATCTGTAGAAATATCGTTTATAAAAAGCAAGAACAGAACCAGGCCTAGGTGGCTACCTTGAGGGACTCGTGAAGTAACATCAATGACGTCAGAGATAGTATTTTTAAACATTACCCTTTGTGATCTATCATAGAGGTATGAAGAGATCCAACGTAGAGAATTAGGTGGAAGACCAAGAAGATCAAGTTTATAGATGAGCAACGAGTGGCACACTTTGTCAAATGCTTTACTGAAGTCAGTATATATAACATCAACAGTTTTGCTTTCACTAAATGCTTTTGAGATATAGGATGTTAATTCGAGTAAATTTGTAGAAGTTGATTTGCCCTTGCAAAATCCATGTTGACTATATGAAATGCTAGAAGAGATAGAATGCGTCAACTGATTTGTTATAATTGCTTCAAATAATTTAGGAATTGCAGAAAGCTTAGCTATTCCCCGGTAGTTCTCCACTGAAGATCTGCTACCGCTTTTATGTAACGGGGTTATGAACGATTCCTTCCATATAGTTGGAAAAACGCCCTCTTTAAGAGATAAATTAAATAACGCTGTTAACGGCTCATAGAGATAATCAGAACAATTTACAAGAATACACGTAGGGATCTGGTCAGGACCATAACTGAAGGACTGCTGTAAGGATTTCAGATAAACTACTACATCATCGGGAGATATTACTGGGATATTTATTGAGTTCATTGGACATAGTTTAAAAGGATAGTCAATGTTAGCATGTGAGTTAATGGAATAATTGGATTTAAAAAACTGAGCGAACATGTTAGAAATTGTTTGATTATCACTAGAGACGGTATTTTGATACTTCATGGCGGAAGGAAACCCACGTACACTTCGCTTGGAGTTTACGAAGTCATAAATTGATTTGGGGTTATATATTATACGCCGTTTGATTTTACACAAGTAAGCTTTATAACACTTTTTGTTTAATTCAAAAAACTTATGACGCAAAAGTGAGTATTTTACATAGTATGAGTGTAAACCGGTTTTTTTGTGTAATCTAAAATAACGCGACTTTCTGTTTTTCAAATTTCTCAGTTCTTTAGTGAACCATAACTGTGTTTGCTCTTCAGGAACATACATGCGTTTAGGCACATGCTTTTCAAATAATTTATGTAAAGTAAAGTTAAAAAGTGCAACGCTTTGTTCAATATTTTCTTTAAATGCAGGCCACGACAATTTAGACAGTTCTTTGTTAAGCATTTTAAAGTTGGCTTTCGAAAAATCAAAGCGAATATTTGGTTCGTATGCTTGGGTACTGCAATTTTGACCATCACTTATAACTTCGTAAGATACCTCCATAGCAGGGTGGTAGACATCTTCGGGCAAAACTAGTGGATCACGCTTTTTTACAACGGACTTAGATGCGTCATCAACCTGAACAAGATCTAATACTTTACCAAACTTATTGTGAAGTACATTAACCGGAGTTTGGCAGAGTTCAGCCATCTCCTCTAAAAATACGTTGTTGCAGGCACTAGACGCAAAAGGTACGATATCATTGTCAATGATGTTCCATGATATGCTTGGTAAATTAAAATCACCCAACATAATCATTGAATCAGAAGGTTTAGTCAGTAAATTAACTGATTTCAGTAAAGAGATGAGTCGTGAATACAGCAATGTATCAGATCGGGGAGGGAGGGAATGGAATTGATGACCTGTGTTCGAAAGTAATCGGGTATCTCTCCGAACTTTCTCGCTTCTTCACTGCAAAGTGTCTAGCCCTCTCCCCTACGAAATCCTCTGCGACCCTGTTCACAACCTGGACGAAGGAGGTCAGGATACCGCTGGGAATTCACGTCGATGACACACCAATTCCGACGGTGAATAACCCCAAAATACCCGAAGTAACATTCGACAGCCTGCTCTCCTTCTCTGCGCACGCAACCGCATTTGTCAATAAAGTACAGAGCCGCAACAAGGTCCTCAAGTCGCTGTTGTTGTTGTTGTTGTAGCGGCTACAACAACCCCGCTCAGGACGGTTCAAGGCAATAGGCCGGCCGGTTTTGAACTACGCAGCGCCAGTGTGGTCGCCAGGGACTAGTAGGACGCAGTGGACGAAGCTACAGAC